GTGGTCGGGGTCATTTAAACAGCTAGTTCCTGTTTTCCATTTTTTTTCAGGGTATAGTAAGTCTATAGAAAATAAGTAAAATATAGTATATCAAAGGAACACTTCTAGTTAAAAATATGAGTTGACCTATAGGACCAATATTGGTTTCAGTCTTTAGAAAAAGCTTATCGATATATGTTTCGGACACTGACTTTAGGCCACATGTGTGTAGTTTCTTGTTTCTCATGTATTGCTTTAGTTCTACATTAATGGTAATCTAACAACCAAGCTTTATGACAAATGAGATGGCTTTAACTTTTCAATTGTCAACTTCCTTTACTTATTCAGCAATATACCTTCATCACCTGCACACAGAGTTTATATCTCTCAGTTGATTCGATACGCAAGAGCATCCTCTAATGAGGTAACTTATTGACAAACAAGTTGCTGAAACAGGAATATCAGCAGTCTTGTTTAAAGTCATCATTTTGTAAGTTCTATGGTCGATACAATGACCTTGTCAGCAAATACAATTTATCATTAAGTCAAATACTTATTGTTAGGCCTTTATTTACATACTGAATTGTTGATGGATTTTTCCATTGTTTCCCAGTTGTGACAAGGAGCACATGGCGAGTGTGACCGGTCTGCAGAGGATGCTCACTCCTCCATGGCACCTGATCCCACCTCTGATGTTTTGGAGGTCCGTGTTTGCTCTGCTCCTATTTTGTATTTTTTGATGGGCTTTTGAGCTTGAATACTGTTTGTTATCTCGATATATTTCATTCTAGTCAACTGTGTGTTCATATGATCTTACCTCAGTATTTACAGAATGATACATCCTTTGTATGAGGGTCATTCTTGATGTCTGACTGAGTAATGGCAACGGGACATAAAACCTTAACTGACCTTAGCACATTCTTTTCTAATCTGAAAACCCTAATGCATTTTTAGCATAACATATCGCTAATGCACACATTTTTCCCTAGGAATGAACTGCATCAACTCTGCATAGAACAGTATCTCTCCCACTGGCACAACAGTACTATTACACGTCATTATGTTCTTGAAAGGAAAACACAGCAATTATTGCTCAGCATGATTTTTTTTCCTGACACCTGCAGTATCGAGTAACATAAAGTGAATGATTAGTGTCCTCAAACAAAGTGTGCTTACAATGAGGTATAGTTCCGGTTAATTGCGTTTAGTTAAAGAGAATTTATGATCTGCATTTCTATAGATGTCTTTTATATCAACACCAAACATGCATTTAAGGAAGAAAATATAAGTAAAATGCAAAAGCCTGTATAAAAAAATCAAAGTGCAAGGACAAGTGCACTTAAGCAATGCTTAATGGGCCCTTTTTCAGTGCTGTATTACTTTAGAATATATTACCAAATTGTTCTCTTTTGGTAATAGTTGAACACAAGTGGACATTTCTAATTAAAATCATGTTAAAACATCACCTAAATCAGCATGGATTTGAAACAAATGAAGTTTTTTAAATGCCTATAGGTCCGGAAAAGTCATATCAAACCTGTTTTGAGTTTCGATCGTTTATTTAAATCAAGGGAAGGAGACATTTAAATCAGACACTTGAACAATCTGATGGTGGATCTTTGACAGGTGCGTTTGCCGAATGATACTTGCGCTATTTTACCCGAGAAAAAAATCGAATGAAGTTGTATAGATGCCTGTATCGATAGTGATCAAACTAAGAAATTTGCACGCTTGCATTTGAAATAATACAATAAGTATTAACATTAGTTCCTATAAATTTTAAAATGAAAAAAAGTGTATTTAGGTGGCTTTCAATACTGATACCATTGTCTTGCATGAATGTTAAAAATGTTTGACGCTTTTATTTATGATGACATTTTAACGACTCTAAACTCTCCTAACCCTCCCGTGTTCTTAAAACCAAATACATACAAACTTCTCTATGCGGCACGACTTTGATACAATGATACAAAACGTGGCTATGTTTTACAGTGAGCATCTTTGAGGAATGTTTACCTGGGTAGAACTCACGTGACTACCGGTATTTTAAGTAATTTATTCCATGGGTGGGTTCAACATAGGTCATACAGGTAAATAGCTCTCACTTGCTATAGGAAAAACATTGAACTTTTCATACATTTTTAATATTTTAAGTACAAGCCTAATCTTGTACAAATTTCCTACTTTCACACAAGTTTTATAAATATATAATGCGTTTTTTGTCAATCGCACAAGTTTGTACAATGTTAGGCTGACAATAAACAAAAGCTTTGAAATGAATGACTGTCCTCGATTTACTATAGAAAATCACGAATGTCGGCTGACCCTTACCACATTGTATGGCTTTGCTCTTTGTATATTCATGAATTTCAGCAATAAAATTTGTTGAATCTTATGGTTTAGATATCAATTAATGATCTGAGATGGAAAATTATGCTTAATTTGATTCTTCATTTTTTCACATTTTACCGGGGCCCATAAGTGCACTCGTTCTTTAGTGTTTATACAGGTAAAAAGTTTGAAAAAATAAAAATTTGCCAACAAATGGATTCGAACCAGGACACTAAAAATGTTCATGGTGAGAGTTTGCTGTCTATCATTCTGGGCTATGCTGACTATGAGGACATTTGTAATAAATATAAACAAGTAAGATAGAAATAGGTTTTCACATTTTTTGTAGGTTTTTTTTTTTTTTTATAAATCTAGGGCAGGGGTGCCCCTAAAAAAACCTTGTTTTAAATAATTGCTTAGATCAAAATCTATCAAAATTTCATAATTTAATTTAAGGGCAGGCAAAGGGTGATGATACTGCATTTATTGGGTATAATTTTCTTATCAGAAAATTGTAGAGATATGCAAGGTTAATTAATGACAACATTTATTTTTCCTTTTTGCCTTATACTTTTGATTTTCACTAATAAATTGAATATTGAAAAAAGCCTTTAATACTCTATCTGTTAATTTTCAGCACCTTTTCTCATGATTATAGGAGATAGAGAACAGATTATGATTTCTAACATTTACTGTTACAGATCATTTCCTTGAGATAGGTGGAACCAACAGTCAAATACAGACACTTTTAAGAGAAGTAAAAATCTGGCTCAGGTTAAAAAAAAAATCATTTACAGTTTTATCAATTAGTAATTTTTACCTTAATTAACTGGAAAAATCTCATTTGACGATATACAGGTCAAGAATGAAAAGTTTAAAGCCTAGTAGGGATTTCGGTCAATCATTATACGTCAGGTAATCTGCAGTCCCTCTCGAGAATTGGATCTTGCCAGTGGAAAGCTGCAAATTCTGTCCTATACTCTGCACTCATGGCCATTGAGCAGTGAGGGGTCTTTTTCATGCCAGCACCTACTGCGACACGGGACCTCGGTTTATAAGGTCTCATCCGAAGGACTGGTCTCCACATCCCACAGTGGGATTCAAACCCGCTATGTAAGGATGAACTCCTTACTCCGTGACTCTAGAGCAGACATTCTAACCATGGCGCCACGCTTGTGACTAGCTCAGTTTTAAAGAAATCATTGAAGATATTTTTTATCAAACTTAATATGCTGATACATAATTAGTAAGACCTATTCAACTATTTCAAAAACTTTTGACCTTTCCTGTGACCTTGACCTCACTTTCCTTTAATTTGCATTTTGCATGGTTTTAAAACCATAAGATATTGTTATCTAAGGCTATGCATCTATACATAATTTGGAGAGAATTTATCATCTATTCATTTTTTTTAGATTTCAATTTCAATTGTAAAGAAACTATTCAAGATATTCTCATCAAACTTCATACACTTACACAAAATTTCATGTTGCATTACTATACACTCGGTGGGGCATTCATGTCCTATGGACATATTTCTAGTGTATTGCTATTTCTGTTGTTTGTTTACTTCCGGTTAGTAAGTGCCCCCGAGGGGCAAGCCGCAGTCCTATTTTCTTTTCCAGGGTTGCAACAGCGCCCCCTAGAAAAACAAGTTGTACCATCCAATCAAATTTTGTTTTGTGCTGCTTTATGCCAATGAAATTAAGGCTGGACAGCATATGTATTATATTCTGACCAATGGGGTTGCCGTATTTTCAAATAATTAGGATAGACTTACCACTTCAGTGTTCCTTTCATCACTGAAGTGATATGCATGCTCAAAAATTGACTAACGTTCATTATTGTGTCAACTGCAGAGCAGAACGACACTTAGAGATCACTTTACCTGGTGTCTGTCTGTCCGACTGTCACACCTTATATCTCCAAAATTTTGAGAGGCAGGGCTTTGATAATTAGCATTTATATATGTTTTTGAGCTCATGATACTATACTTTGAAACTGTATGAAATTCAGTTACCACACAAACTTATATTTAAATACTATGAAAATACATTGGGATCAGTATTCCACAATGAATCGTGTTGACTGACAAAGTGACAATTAAAGTAAAGACAGTCTGAAATCCCTTTCCTCGGACGATTGTTGGAAGCACCTACATGTGTATTAATAAAATGATAAATAGTTATTCCTCATAATTTCAATTAAATTATTCATTTGAGGACTGGGGAACCATATTTTCTTTGATTGCCAGATTCTATCCCAGTCTTTTACTTTTGGATCCTTTTTTTCCTTTGAGGTAAATGCTTGAACCTCCATGCTAATATTAAATTAATAGCTGACCACTCTTAGATTTATTTACCTCTTTAATGAAGATACCTAGCAGGCGACATATACATTCCTTGAAACACTCTAGTTCCTTGATTCTTTGATTTTCACTAATATAATGATTATTGAAAAAAGACTAAGGTGCTCTATAGTGATCAGTCTATTCATTCATCTGTCTGTCAAATACACATATCCCTTGTTCAGAATACAGGTGACTCTAAATACTTCAAACTTTATATTTTTTAATTAGGTACAGGTAGCTGCTTCGGAACATCTGAAAGGTCTATTACATTATCACTAGTTTTACTAGTTTTCTTCATGTATGATTATATTTTAAACTTTTAAATTTTTATTTTTGCCAGGTAAGAAAGAAATTCAGGAGTTCTTGGATTGCATCAAACTGCTAAAAGACCTCAACAAAAACAGTGTCTTGAAAATAAAAATGAAAATAATCAGTGAAAAAAGATGATGAGAGAAAGAGCCACTAAAAATCTTCAAGCCTTTGAGCTGAAATCTGGAAGTCAATCTGTGGACTTTACTGGTATGTCTTACTAAGTCATCATTTGTGTATAATAAATACACTAAACTGTAAACACTTGTTAAAATGTGTATAATTTTTAGATATAATTTGTACCTCACAGACTTCAATAGTTTCATGTAATTTTAGTAATAATAAAAATTTCCTGTTGTCTGGCTAGATCAGAAACTATTATTGTCCAATTTTGGATATTGTGAAATAATTCATCTAGTAAAATTGGATATGCATACATGTGTGTACACTTACATGTAAATTAATTGTTATTGCAAATTCAATCTCATTAAGTTGAATGTTGACTAATGTTTTTCATCAAAATTGTTTACACTGACTTGTTTGTGGATTTTTCCATTTGCCCAATCATGTCAAGGAGCACATGGCAGGAAATGCTTTCTCCTCCATTGCACCTGGTGTTTTTAGAGGTCTGTGTTTGCTTTGCTCCAATTTTGTATTGTTTCAATGGACTTTAAAGCTTGATCACTGTTGGTAGTCTTCATATTTTATATACTATTAGAGTACTTGAAGAGAACTGTAAAGATTTAACATACAGTATAATGCATGTATATTGCACTTCAAGTACAGTGTATGTGGTTTAGAAATGTTAATTTATCTCATAGTGCATTGAATTTGTTGAAAATTAGAAAATGTGTTGAAATTTTTTAAAAATAATGTTAGATTGCAGATTTTTTTAAATCATGCAAGTAAGAAATTGCTAAATATTTTTTAGCTTTTCTGGACAGTCTAGATGAGTTCTTGCTATATACCTAGCATTGTATCCCAGTTAAAATTTAAGGAGCAAGGTTCATTCCTAAGCTCTATCTGGACAAACTTGCATGGATTAAAGCACATTAACAGATTTACTTCAGATGCTTGACCTGATCTACATTTTCTTCATGTGTTTTTTGTTTTTGTTTGTTTGTTGTTTAACATTCCTCTCAAGAATTTTTCATCCATTTGGAGATGCCACTACTTGCTGGTGGAGAGCTGCAAAATTTGACCTATACTTGGCACTCAGGGTAGCAGTAAGGGATCTTTTTTGTACCCACATCAACTGCGAGGCGGGACCTCGGTTTATACGGTCGAATATGAAGGACTGGTCCCCACATCCCCAGTGGATCTGAACCTGAGACTTAAGGATTAAATCCTTACTCGTGACTCTAGATTACACACTATAACCTTTGCGCCACATGGGGGACTCCACAAGAGTAAGTGTTTTGAGCAGTCCTATTCTCATGTAATTATAAACTGTATGTGGAACAAACTTGCAAAGATGATGTATGTACATGTAAATGTTGCAGGGTACGAATCCTTGATTTGACTTAGATTTTCTGGATTAATGACCAGTTTTTTAGAGAAGGTTCATACAAATTAACAATATACTCTTTGGTGATCAGTAAACATAGATGATGCATCCTGCTTTCAGGGTTATTGAGCAGTTAAATCTAACCCAGACCAACTTGCATAGATTTTGGATCCAGGTGATATACATTACCAGAGTGTTTGTTGAGTGAGACTTTGCCTTACTAGTAGATAACATTTACAGAAGTGAGCTTTGTATTCTTTGATTAGGTATGCTTTTTCTTTGCTCAGGATATACCATCAGTGCCAACTACCATACATTTTATATAATAGATGTAGCTGTTGTTCAACTGAATTTGATAAAACTGTGGATGAAAATAATTTGATTTTTGTACCTTTGAATGTATTGAATTAATTTGTAAAAGCTCTTATGATACAATGTTTGATATTTTGTAAAAGTTTTTAGCACATGCAATCAATAAATGTATCAACATTTTTATTTTATTTTACTTTTTACCCTGCAAACTTCTTAAAAACAGAATAGTAATGATCCATTTAATTGATACTGGTTAGTGTCACATTGTACTGGTATATCATGTATATTGAACTGTAAATGAGAAACATCTAAATATGTCAAATCACAGCATGAATCATTGGATTATGTAAGAATTGCACTATCTTGTGCTTTGGTATGGTATTAATAATAAATGTTAAACTATCATATTTTTTCAAATTAACAAAGGATATGCTTGAGTGACTGTATTTTGACTAGCAGTAAAAATAAAATGATTTTTAAGCATTTGAATTATTTTGATTCATGGTCTGTGCAAGTTAAATGAGAGCAAATATGTATATTGAACATGGCATCCACATATTGCTATACTGGATTGGGCATAACTTATACTGAATCTTAATCACAACCTTGAAATTTTATGTAGTACATGTACTCTTTGTTTCAACTGGTCAAACATATTCTTAAATCACAAAGAATTTAAACAATTAGTTGGAAAGTGAATGCACTCAATGACTATATGGTTTTAAATTAAAAGAAGCTGGGTATAAATAGCAGGAAAAACTACTTGATGTCCACTGTGAACTTTGTGTCCTCAACAAAACAAATGGAGTATACTATACTTGGTCTAAAGAATAAGTCTAATCTATGTCTGCATTCACTTTTAGGTTAAACTGTATTGGGCATTGAGAGTTTGTTTGTTGTTTAACGTCCCTCTCGAGAATTTTTCACTTATATGGAGATGCCACCACTTGCCGATGGAGAGCTGCAAATGACCTATGCTCGGCACTCAGGGCCAATGAGCAGTGAGGGATCTTTTTCATGCCAGCATCTGCTGCGACACTGGACCTCGGTTTGTACGAAGGACTAGTCGCCACGTCCCACAGTGGGATTCAAACATGTGACATAAGGATCAACTCCTAACACCGCAACTCTAGAGCATAGGCTCTTACCACTGCACCACGTGGGCGACAGCATTGAGAGTTAAACGTGGATATCAGAACAAACTACTCTGGGCTTATACTCTCTATATGTTGATTGATTGATTGTGTGTTGTTTAACGTCCCTCTCGAGATTTTTTCACTCATATGGAGACGCCACCACATGCCGGTGGAGATCTGCAAATTTTGTCCTATACTCGGCGCTTGAGCAGTGAGGGTTTTTTTTCTTGTCAGCACGTACTGCGACATGGGACCTCGATTTATACGGTCTCATCCGAAGGACCGGTCTCCCCATCCCACAGTGGGATTTGAACCTGCGACATAAGGATCAACTCCTTACTTTGCTACTCTAGAGCAGACGCTCTAACCACTGCACCACGGGGGCAACTACTCTCTATATAAGTCACTTGTACAATGACTTTAGTTTTATATTCAAGGTTTTGTACCTATCATGTTGAGTCACATCAGCACAAATATCTTTCTGCTGACCTTGACCATCCGCAACTATTCTGGTTGGAAACAATATGTTAATTAATGCATAATCAGTGAAATTACTATGAAAGAAAAATGGTCTACTTAAACCATAAGTTATATTTATAAAAATATACACTGGTCTCCTTAAGTCATATGAGAGAAACATAAAATATTAGGGAGACCATTTTTTTCATATATTTTTAGGAGGCATTTATAATGAAAAGATAAAGCAAGAGTCGACTAAATGGTGTCCTATAGATCATTGATCTGGTATTTCTTTTTAGAAAAAAGCAAATTTAAAAAATTTGTATATTGTCTCCTTAAGCCATATATTATGGTCTGGTCTCCCTAGTCCTTAAATCAGAGTTATATATATATATATATATATATATATATATATATATATATATATATATATATATATATATATATATATATATTTTAAAATAATCATTTATAATTTGAATCGGCTGAGTTCTCATGTCAATCACAAAAATATCAAATTTTATGAACTTTCAGCAAGTCCCAAAGCACCACATATTATAATCTATATCCCATCAATAGCTGCCAGAAAGTAATTCATTTCGAATACACGAGGATAATTGTAAACACTGTCGAATTAACTTAGTAGTCTTCACAAAATGAAGTTTCAAAGTGTTGATTATGGAACAACAAAATTGCACTTGAAGATGACACCAGGTTCCTGATACGTGTATTTTGAGTTCAATTTGGACTACAGTCACCCCTACTAATGTTATTGTGATTTAAATTCAAGACACGTGGTGTAGGTTGACCCATTATAGGGTAGAACCGGTTCTATAAATAAAATTGGCAGTAAACATGAAATTGCTATAATCTGTTTCTTTTAAAACATGTCCTATAAAAATGTGTTTCCAGAATTTTCTGAAAGATTTTTAAGATTTTAAACAGAAATGAGTGGGATTTAAAAAATCACAATCCACTTAATTAATCTTCGCTTTTGTGATAATTTACGTCAAAAATTGGAACTTTACGGGTAATGTCGTGTGTAAAGGACGTAGTGTGTGCTTATCTCACTAAATAAGTACTGCTAAGCAGTATTGAAAAGCGTCTTTGATTGTTCTACAAAGTCATCGGCGCTTTGTTTGAGTCTCAAAATATTCACTCATCAGTCAAATAGGAAAGTTTATATTTTATTTTTTCACTGTTTTGCCTAATAATAAAAATTGACCAAGTATATGTTTTAATTAGACAGTACATCAAGCATTACAATGCAATGTATTGTAGGACAGTTATATTTTTATTTAAAAGCAAAATTAATTGGCTTGCAATTAAAGAACTTCACTCGACACTTCAATTTTCCTCGGGGTGTTTTGCATATATCCATATCAGTCTTTCAATAAAAAATAATCAGCAAAAGTAACTGTTCTTTGATGAGAACTTAGCTCTAAGTAATGCTATCAGAATATATTCTATCTTTCCTGGTGCTTATATCGATCTACATCATCTCAAAATTTACACTCATCAGTCCAACACGAGATTTCTCTTTTTTTTTTCAATCGTTCATATTCCCGAACTAGGCGTTGCATAAAATAATAAACAGCAATGAAAAAAATTGTCCAAAAATCCTTCGACATTATTACTGCATTGTTAATTTAGATTCGTATGACAGAGAACAATCATATAAGAAAATGTGAATGAAAATATTCCATCCAGTCTGTTTTTCAAAACTTTTAAAAAATAAAAATATATTAGAAAATATGCTAATTTACACCTTATTTTCAATACCATAATGTAAAACAAAAATGGACTTCATTTTATTGATTGACATTGCATCGCAGTGCAGGGCAATAAAATGCAGTTAAATTCTTATTATGATAAACAGTATAATTCTCTTGCAAACAAAAAAATCCACTCATCAGTCAAAAAGGAGTGTTCATTTCTTTTGGATCTTTTGCGCATACCCAAATTAGTCATTCGATAAAAAAAACAAAAAACCAGCAACACATAACTTTACGGAAGTCCTTCGACTTAATTTCTGATTGTTAATTTTGATTCATGTCAAAAGAAAACAAATATCTAAGCATGCTAAGAATCTAAGAATAAAGGAAATGCTCTCTAGTCTGTTTTTGAAACCTTTTTTTTTTTCAAAGCATAAAATGAAAAAAAAAAGATATGTGTATTTAATCAGTTTTTAAATTCAATTAAGAAAAAAAAATTGACTGAGTTAATTTTGATTGGACAATTTGGCAGGCATCACAATGTATCGCATTGTATTGCAGCAGAGTGCAGTATGGTGCAATTCTACTTGTATTTAAACAAGCACAATTATTTTACTTGTCAATGTATTAGAAATATTCCCCCACCATCCACCCTCCAAAGACAGCTTTTATATACAATTTGTCCTTGTGATTGAATGTTTATTTGGAAATTTGCATAATGTAAGTTTTGTTTCAAAGTTCGATAACTCAAATTATGTCCCTTTGAACAACGTAGACAAAACGATCATTGATTTCTGCTTTATATTATGTAAATGTTTAAGCAATGCTAACGAGTAACAGGCTTGTATACTATATATAAGACGTTAGAGAGACATTCACAAATGACAATGTGTTAAAGTCAGAGTAAATAACGGTTACGGGTAATGTCGCGTGTAAAGGACTTAGTGTGAGCTTACCTCACTAAACAAGTACTGCTAAGCAGTATTGAAAAGCGTCTTTGATTGTTCTACAAAGTCATCGGCGCTTTGTTTGAGTCTCAAAATATTCACTCATCAGTCAAACAGGAAAGTTTATATTTTTTCACTGTTTTGCCTAATAAAAAAAATAGACCAAGTATGTTTTAATTAGACAGTACATCAAGCATTACAATGCAATGTATTGTAGGACAGTTATATTTTTATTTAAAAACAAAATTAATTGGCTTGCAATTAAAGAACTTCACTCGACACTTCAATTTTCCTCGGGGTGTTTTGCATATATCCATATCAGTCTTTCAATAAAAAATAATCAGCAAAAGTAACTGTTCTTTGATGAGAACTTAGCTCTAAGTACTGTTATCAGAATATATTCTATCCTTCCTGGTGCTTATATCGATCTACATCACTCTCAAAATTTACACTCATCAGTCCAACACGAGATTTCTCTTTTTTTTTCAATCGTTCATATTCCCGAACTAGGCGTTGCATAAAATAATAAACAGCAATGAAAAAAATTGTCCAAAAATCCTTCGACATTATTACTGCATTGTTAATTTAGATTCGTATGACAGAGAACAATCATATAAGAAAATGTGAATGAAAATATTCCATCCAGTCTGTTTTTCAAAACTTTTAAAAAATAAAAATATATTAGAAAATATGCTAATTTACACCTTATTTTCAATACCATAATGTAAAACAAAAATGGACTTCATTTTATTGATTGACATTGCATCGCAGTGCAGGGCAATAAAATGCAGTTAAATTCTTATTATGATAAACAGTATAATTCTCTTGCAAACAAAAAAATCCACTCATCAGTCAAAAAGGAGTGTTCATTTCTTTTGGATCTTTTGCGCATACCCAAATTAGTCATTCGATAAAAAAAAAAACAAAAAACCAGCAACACGTAACTTTACGGAAGTCCTTCGACTTAATTTCTGATTGTTAATTTTGATTCATATCAAAAGAAAACAAATATTTAAGCATGTTAAGAATCTAAGAATAAAGGAAATGCTCTCTAGTCTGTTTTTGAAACCTTTTTTTCAAAGCATAAAATGAAAAAAAAAAAGATATGTGTATTTA